GGTCGCAATTTTCGAATAAGAATGAGTCGGCAATTTTTAGTGGAGTCAAAAATTTGGAGGTAAATAAAACACCGAAACCCGGCAAATAAATAGGCGTTCGAATTTTTAGAGGGGTCGAAATTTTGGAGTTTTCACGGTACTAATTATTCCATTTCAATGAAACTTAGTACAAAGATGCTCTAGGACAATGTACAAACCTAATTAGTTTGGGGTAAAAATCTGTTCATATTAATTCCCTAATAAGCATAATAATTCATAATTTTTTGGTTCTAATCACATTTCAATTAAACTTGGAGACATAGATTTTCTGTTACATTGCGCAGACCTCATTAGTTTTACACTCAAATCTTATTATATTAATTTTCTGATTTGCATAATTAGTTTTCAGCTAAGTAATTTCGAATTATATTTAATGTGTTTCCAATACTCTCAGCACATGGGAGTTCTTTCTAAGCTTTCTTTGATTTCTTTTGTAAGACCTGTATAAAAGAAACTCTGGTCTACCTTATTTTTAGAGATATTTCGGAAAATGTGCTTTATTGACTTAACATGTAAGAGTATATTGTAACTGTATGATCATTTCCAAATGTCTCATCAGATTACATTCAAAAAGAACCAGTGGTGGAAACTTAAAACTGACGCTTAGTATCAGATGTATAGTGCTATTGTTTTTGTCAATATCCCACACTGGTATGCAACACACTGGTTTGCAATGAAGTTCCAAATTTAAAATTATATATATTTATCATAAATGCCTGATCTAATAAAATATCCATTTTTTCAAATAGAATTCATGACAAAATATCATACTAGAAGAAAACACCAAACTCTTGAATTCCCAGAGATTTTCATCAATACCACATACAATGTACCCTTCTTTATTTGTTAATAGTATAATTGACCTATAAGGTCAATGACCTGCACTGCAGGTTAACTTGTACTTTATTGCTACTCATTTTTTACATTTTTTCCTATCTTCATATATTATATATTTATTCTTTCTTGCAGTCATGGAATTGCTGGGCTTACCAATATCCAAGGTGAAGACCAGCACAAGATTGATGTACTTGCAAACAAGCTGTTTATTAACATGTTAAAGTCTTCCTTCACTACTTGTCTTATGGTGTCAGAGGAAAATGAGAATGTAATCGAAGTAGAGACAGAGAAACAGGGAAAATATGTTGTGTGTTTTGATCCTCTAGACGGCTCTTCCAATATTGATTGCCTTGTGTCTATTGGGTCTATATTTTGTATTTACAAGAAGGTAATTATCAGATTTATTCTAGAATGCTTTTTAAGTTAGTATGGATGCCCTCAGTTTGGACTTGATGTTTGTGATTATATCACATTTATTTCTTTCATATTGGTGTTGGTGTTCAATAAGTCAGTGTTTTTCACCATTTCAATTTTATACCCAAAACAATCACCAGGAGAGGGAATGTATATGCAAGTTTTCAAGTTTACCTTGTCTATTATTTTATGTGTATGTTCATTCAAAATTCCTGGATACAGAGCAAAAACATTCATCAATTCTAAAAAAATTCTGTACATGATATACCATTATTATTAGGTCAAATTTTGTTTCAATTTGTGCAAGTGTTTTATTCAAACAACCAAGGTATAAATGTTTTTCCCCTTGGAAAATGAACTTAAAAAACTTTGTGCATGTGATATAATAAATATTAGTTTTGACTGTTATTTCATTCCAATGAAAATGTCATGTTATTATTAATTTGTGCAAAACAATTTACATTGCTACAATTTGTAAGTGAAAACCACAGTAAGTTAGCATCATAGTAAATTTCATTGAAACCCAATTTCTTCAAACTTGAATATATTTAAGTATGGAAATGTAGTATGAATCAGTGAAACAAATGCATAGAATTACTCCTGGTGTAAAAGAAATCTTTTTCAAAGACCAAAATTCAGGAAAAGTCAACTTTTTAACAAGGTCATTGAATCACCTTTTGATAATTTTGTTGTCAAACATTTTTTTGTGCTCTTGAATGTTGATCACTCGTATATAGTGACTTGAATTGGAATAATTTTGGTTTGTCAGGTATATTATCAGCTGAAATCTCCTGTAATCTATAGTTAGTGGTTTGTTGACCTTAAAGTGGTCAAATGACATATGTTTCAAGATTCACATGTCCAGTGCCATTTATTGAAAAAAAGACGTTGTTTTTGAGCAATACAATTCCATACGACACAAATAATTCCTCTTTTCAGTAACGTATTGATGATCTCTTCTGAACTATTCACTGAATTTCTTAGTAATAACTAATATAATGACTACCAGTATACAGCAGATTGTTATCAATTCATACTACTATAAAGGGGAGAGTAAGGGACGACGTCAAAAGATCGATGTCGGATAAAAAACTTATTTCCTTTAGTTTGGGGGTGGGGGGTTTTAACCTCAAAAAGTTTCCATTCTACAAAAACGATTTTATTTTTCAATGAAGTCAAAAAAATCTTGGAGTATTTGTAGTTCGTTTTTCTTCTATCCAATCATGGACAGAAATAAACGAAAAGGGAAAAAAACAGAAAAATGGTTTGGTTCGAGTGTAAATCTGTGTGTCAAATGAGGTGCATTTGTAAAATCTTTTTACACCCAGACAACCAACTGTTATGCAATACTACTGTCCAATTATCAATTAGTATTTAATGGTGAATGTAGTCTGACGCCATGACCAATATTTATCAATTAAGTTTCAGTGGGGGGGT